GAAAGAAAGAAAGAAAGAAAGAAAGAAAGAAAGAAAGAAAGAAAGAAAGAAAGAAAGAAGAAAGAAAGAAAGAAAGAAAGAAAGAAAGAAAGAAAGAAAGAAAGAAAGAAAGAAAGAAAGAGAAAGGATATCAAGAGAGCAGGTTGCAGTTCTCCTGTCTCCTGGTATGGACACAGTGACCCCTACATACCCTGGACCAAATCCAATGGCTAGTCCCAGCTGGAGCAAAAGCAATATATCATTGGCTGAATAACAAATCAACACTGATGTAAATCCCATGGACACAGTGGGTCTCCTTTTGCTAGCCAGGGGTTTTAGCCCTTTGCCCTTTTTGAAACACCTCCCCCCACAGTCTCAAAGACCCAGACTCAGATGGACAAAGTTGCAAGGGTGCAACCCCGGACGGGGTACCTGGTTCAACTGCCACACTAACCATCTCAGAGGCTGCCAGCCTGAACCCAGCAAATGTAGGTTTGCTGCTCTCATTTTTAGACTGCCATCCTGCGTTTCAGATAGCAGTTGGTGTCTGAAATGGTGCCAGGCTTTTGGCTGGAGACCCTTTCTAACCAGTCAGGTATCTTTCCACTGAGTTTACCACACTCCCAAGGATATGGGGCGGCTGTTTCTTCCTCTCCTTGAGTGACATGGGGACGAAGAACGGCCCATAAGAAGGTAGACGCTGCATCTGTTCCAGCCGAACCAGGATCCTTCCAGGAGGATCTTGTTGGGGAAAGTTTGAAACACATGCCTCAGTATCTGCTCTGCTGGCTAAGGCAGATCTGAGTTAGCCGCCCCAGAACATCAGGGGAGCGCCTGCCTTCTGCTTGGCTCTGTTGCAGAGACGGGAAGGGCTGGTTGGTTGGCGAACAGCCCACAGACCCTGCCAGGGAATTAAGAGCCCAGTGGAGTCCTGAGAACTCCTCTAAGGGCCACAGAGCCGCAGCACGGAGGAGAGGGCGATTCATAGAGGGGCGACGGATTGTCCTTAACAGGGACCCTTCCTTTCTTGGTGGGCTGAGGTTGGGTCGCCGGCCAAGTGGGGCCGCCGAGACTTGCTTACTGATTTCATGGATTGGATTGTTATCCCTGCCTTTCTCCCTCAGTGGGGACCCAGCACAAACTTTTTAAAGCCAAGAATTTGGGGTCACCCCCCCCTTTCCATCCTAGAAGTGCAAATAATAGGGGAGGGAAAGAAAGATGTCAGAAAAAGACAAATGAAGGGCAAATGAAAATGAATAAATACGGGGCCAATATCTACCACACCCAATTATTAGGAACAAAAGGGAGAGGGACACATGGCTTCTGGTCATACACCACAGCAAGGAAGTAGTGTGTGAGTTTCTCTCCCCCCCCCTCCGTAATCCTAGAAATCCTTTTTTCAAAGTTGCAAAAACATCTCTAGCAAAACGATAAAGGGCAATAAGAGAGGTTACGGTTTATGAGCTGCCGAAGGATTTAAAGGCAAGCCACGGGTCACGTTATACGTAGTAGCACACAATCACGGTGAACAGACAGCCGCACAAGGATGGGCTTCCCCTGCCCTTCCCGCCACCCCCTACCCCTCTCTGCTTGCTTGCATCCCCACTGTCTGGAATCTCTGGCACCCCTTCTAGGGCACCACTCTCTTGGTTTTGCCGGTTTGTCCTGACAGAGTGGAAAGGGGGTAACGGGTCTCCCTTCTTGGGAAAGAAGGCCATTTTTCCCCAGGAGCATCCAGAGAAAAGGCAGAAATGACCCAGCAAAACAGATCTTCTGCCTCATGGCCTGAAACCGTTCAGCAGGAAAGGCGGCTGTTTAAATTCAGGAAAGCAATGGGTGGGATTTATTTCTGAGCAAACAAACCTTAGATCAGTGCACATATGTGGAATATAACCCACTGAACCAACATTGCTCTGAGAACTGTTTTTCGACTGTAGGGAAAAGAAAAGCAAGAGGAATTTTGCCTGCCTCTACTTTTTTTAACATGTGAATATTATCTCAACTCATATTCTGGAGGAAGAGGCAATGCCTAGTAGCCATGGTGGCTGTAGCTGATCTCCAGGCACTGGTGGCTCCATTCCAGAGAAACTGTGGATCCACTCCAGGTTTTGTTCCACATCAATTATCCAGTAGGCTGGAACCTATATGGAACATGGGCTTCAGGACCCTGGATAGTTCCCATTAAAACACAGATTAAAACCTGATGCGGATTCACAACACCTCCGAAACTGGAGTCACCAGCTGCCAGAGCCTCCAGGATCAGCAGCAGTGCATCTTGAAGTATTAGAGCTGGGGAGGGTGAAGGTGAGGGAGAGGGCTACTGCATCCATGTGCTTCCTGGTGTGCTTCCCAGAGGCATCTGGTTGGCCCCTGTGGGAAAAGAAGGATCTGCTGGACCAACTAAGGTTTTATCGTCCGATCTGCTCCAGGGCTCCTCCTTATCTGGACTACAATTCCCAGAAACCTCCTGGCAGAATCTGGACGGTGTAGTGCTAAGCACATTAACTTCCTCTTGCTTTCTGTGGCTTGGGACCTTTGCATCGGTTAGAGACCCTGATGAGTTGGAAAGGGGGAGGGACAGCTTTCTATCCTCTGGATTGGAGAGGCCTCCCCTGCCAAGACACCTTTGTGGCGCCTTCATGGCTTTGACTCCATTTCTGCTTCTAGACTGTCCTTAAAGCACTCTCCGGGCTGCTTACCACTGAATGCGAGCTGGGCATTCGTTTTACCAGCCTCAGAAGGACGGAAGGCTGAGCTACCTGGGGTTGGACCCAGGAGGTGAGCAGAGTTTGAGCTGCAGGACTGCCGTTTAGCCACTGCGCCACAGCAACACCCATGTTTAGGTCCCGGAAAAGATGCCGATTTTGGCCGCGCGCGGCGAATCCATTCCTCTGCCCCTTTCGGCCCGCGAGCTGGGCATTCGTTTTACCAGCCTCAGAAGGACGGAAGGCTGAGCTACCTGGGGTTGGACCCAGGAGGTGAGCAGAGTTTGAGCTGCAGGACTGCCGTTTAGCCACTGCGCCACAGCAACACCCATGTTTAGGTCCCGGAAAAGATGCCGATTTTGGCCGCGCGCGGCGAATCCATTCCTCTGCCCCTTTCGGCCCTCTGCAGTCTCCCTTTGGGTCCGGCCTTC